CTATTTTAAAATATTTTCTCCCATTGCTCGTCTTAACTCCTTCAGAATTTTTTTCTCTCTGGCTGTTAATATGGATTGGGCGATGCACCAACTAGATGTAAAGAATGCTTTCCTTTATGATGATTTGGACGAGGAGGTTTATATGAAGCAACCTCCTGGGTATGTTGCTCAGGGGGAGAATCTTATTTGCAGACTGAGAAAAGTCATCTATGGGTTAAAACAGAGTCCTCGAGCTTGGTTTGATAAGTCCAGCAAGGTTATTTCTAATGTTGGTTTCCAACGTTGTCAGTCTGATCACTCTGTCTTTCTTCGACGCACAACAACTAGTTTGGTTATTTTAGCTGTATATGTTGATGATATTCTGCTGACTGGGAGTGACTCTGTTGCCTTAGCTGAGACTAAAGAGTATCTAAACCGTCATTTTGTCACTAAGGACATGGAAAAGCCAAAGTATTTTCTTGGGATTGAAGTTGCATATCAAAAACATGACATGTTGTTGTCCCAAAGGAAGTATGTGCTAGATTTACTAGAAGAAGCAGATCTTGGAATGCAAACCTGTGAATACTCCAATTGAGGTAAATATTGATTTGTAGTGTGATGATACCTCTCTACTAGATGATGTTGGACGATATAGGAGACTAATTGGGAAGCTAATATATTTGACAGTTACCAGGCCTGTTATTACTTTTGCAATAGGTGTACTGAGCAGGTTTATGCACAAACCTAGAAAGGTTCATTGGACAGCAGCTCTAAAGATTTTGGCATATGTCAAGAGTTGTCCTGACAAGGAATTGTTATATAAGAAGCATGGGCATACTCACATTTCGGCTTTCTCTGATGCTGGCTACGCAGGAGACATGGGAGACCGAAAGTCAACCTCGGGATTTTGTACTTTTGTTGGAGGTAATCTTGTAACTTGGAAAAGTAAGAAACAAGATGTAGTATCACGATCTAGTGCAGAGGTTGAATATAGAGCAATGGCTCACACTGATTGTGAGATGGTGTGGCTAAGAAAGTTTATGACAGAGCTTGGTTTTGTTCAGCTTGGACCCATGCCAATGCATTGTGACAACCAGTCTGTCATTTATATTGCACAGAATCATGTGTTTCATGAGAGGACAAAACATATTGAAGTTGACTGTAATTTTGTCAAAGATGTTTGGGAGAAGAAGATAGTATCTCTCATATTCACTCGTCCTCACGGCAACTTGCTGATATTCTTACCAATGCTACTTCTTCAAATGTGTTTTCTACTATATGTGATAAGCTGGGTATGATGAATATTTATGCTCCAGCTTGAGGGGGAGTGTTAGATTAAGTATATTGGGTTAATAGGCTGTGGCCCGTTAATCATACTCCTATTTGTATGACTATATATATATATATATATATATATATATAGTATCTGAATAAATCAATGAAGTTAGGGTTTTTGCTCCCTCAATTATCTTTTTCTACAGTATCATTTTCTTAAAACTTATAATATAAAAAAAATGTTCAGGGGATTATGTGCAAACGCCAACCCATAAAAAAAAAAAGTTTAGTTGAGGTTTGTGAAACTCACCGCAATGATTTCCTATCCAAAACCAAGACAAGTATCAAAGCCAACTCTTTGTATTATATTCTATCAAACCCGGAAAGAAAAAAGTTTAGTTGACATAATGGTCAGAATAGCTTCAAAGCAAAAGTCTAATAATTAAAAAAAATCACTAGTTTGTTTACAAATAGCATTCCGGCCGGTTATTGTGGGAATGTTTGCTAAAGCCGAAGCCTGATAAAAGGAGCGATGACAACAAATACCAAGGTTATGAAAGACAATGAAACCCAAAAAATGCACTTATGACCGACTAAAAGATCATAGTATGGTGAAGAGATGATGTGAATGAGCTTTAAGAATCTTAACATAGTCGACATTGCGCGAGTAATATAAATCTGCTATTTGATATTTAGCATTTATGATGTTGAGAAGAAATCATTTGGAAAAGATAGTCTCCCAATTGTTTTTAATGAACTTTGAATTCTCCTCTTTACCCCATGCCATGCAGGAGTATTTTGCTTGTTATGGTGTATGACGTCAGAAAAGCTGCGGAGATTTTACACATATGTTCAAGTAGTATCTCCGGCTCTAACAAACGATAGCCCTTTTTATGGACTTCGGAGCAAGGTAACAATGAACCTTCTGTGGTCGCGATTGCCAGAAGCGGGAGAGAATAGTGTGGCCTTAATAATATTGGAGAGAGAATCTTTGACAACAGTTGATTGGGGGAGGGACCTGGATGCGTGTGAGAGGGTCGAGAACGTTGGTTCCAGAGAGGGTGATGAGCCAACCGCCGGAGGTACAGATGCATATTGGAGAGCAGTGGGAGGGAATGGGAGAGGGTGGTGTAGCTTTTGTGGTCGGCATTAGAAAGGAGTGGAGAGACCGCCACTTTTGATTACAGTCATATATTATTCAACTGGTGGTCGTGATCTGTTTTGAGTGAAAAATAGGAATGAGTGTAATGCACAAGGACTTGTTATGTGTTAAAAGTAACAATAAGTAGCCCATTGAATAATAGCTAGCTAGTTAGTCAAGTATATAGTGGTCTCATCACTATTTTTTGCAGTAGAAAGAATCCAATACTGTAACTTACATGAGAAAGTTCTCATTTTTCTTTGGTTCTATTTGCAAGCTACCTTACGCAAAGATCAAGCTATTAGCTAGACATGTACTAGAAAACAAGTATCCAGAATATTTAGGGTGTACTGGAAGGGTTAATGAACATGATAAAGGTGAAATCAGCCAGCAGAAAATGTTAAGACTGGCATATATTAAGTTGATGTCCACCAAACTTCCTAGCCACTCATTTATTAATATAAAAAATATTTTCATATCATGCAATGATCCTTTGTGTCAACTTAAGTAGATGGTAAATAGTTGTCCACCAAATTTTTTAGCCACTCATATTGTCATAAATGGGTAAATAGGCGAGCTATTACCCGCTTATTTGTGACCCATTTATCTTTAATAAAAACAATATTCACCCATTTATGATCCATTTAATTAAATGGGTAGGTTTGGATTGTTTAATTAGTGAGTATGGGTGAGCAAATAATTTTGGGTCAATTTTGACATCCGTAGTCCATTGACATCGTTCTCAAGCTAAATATTTTACCACGAGCATAGTAAAACAGAGCATAGAGATTTCAGACGGATACTTTGAAATGATGAAGGCTGCACAAGAACGAGCTGGACTTGTTACTTTTCGAGAAAACCTAATGAACAGGATAATTCACAAAAGCACAGAAGAGGTTAGTATTCCATCGAATATTGTACATAGTAAACATAATTAACTAATCATCCTAAACAAACATAATTAACAAATAATCACAAGTTCATAATTGGTGGTTCCTCTCCTTGATTAAGAGATGAAAACTCTCACTGTATGTATATCTTATCTCAAACGCTGATCTGCTCCATTGATTGCATCTGCAACTGAAGCCCCTTCCCCCCTCCACATCTCCTCTTCCACAAGCTGACTGAATTCTCCGACTTCATCTCCTTCCTCTCTACAGGCCTTGGTGGGTCCATCTCCTCAACCAAAACCCTACCCAAAGAACCTCTCGTGAGCATCAACAAGCTGAACTCACTCTCAATACTCAAAGGGCTGGACCTCAATGATGTGTTTACTGAACTATTTGAACTTTTCCTGAGCATCATCAGGCTGAACTGGGGACTAACACTGGGTGACCTTGAAGATGACCCAGATGATGAAGAGTGCAGTGAGCCAGTTGCACTTGAAGGAGCTTTGCGCCGTCGAACCTGACCCATGCATCCGACCCTTGGAGAAGTAGGCTCCACGGTGATTTCAGGTCCTTCAGGGCTCTGGCGGCGATGACGATGAGACTTCTTGGGTCCATGTGTTGAAGTCAAAGGACTCTTGTTTCCGCTGCAGATGTTGGTGTTTCGAGGGGTTGTGACTGTGACTGGAGGTGGTCTCAGGCACCAAGCAGGGTTGAAGGAGCTCGATTTGTGGCGATGGCGAACTTTGGTGCTCATTGCTGAATTGATCAGTTTGCTGTTTGATTGAAGCTCAGTGGGTATGGAATATTGTGTATATATAGGAAAGTCAGAGGTTTGATTAGTCAAATTAAGAGGATTGGAATTTGATGGCTCTGGACAAGACTAATTCTAATAGGCTCCAATAATTTTTCAAAAAATCGCTACAGCGATTCATGACAAAAGTCCAAAAAGTTTAACATAGATGTTTTTTGATGAGATAAAAACTTCCTTTAAGTTTTCTCAAATCTTCCAGTCCTTTTCAGAGGAGCTCAGGAGCTAATAAAATTCCATTTAGAAAGGAAAATTAGTTTCTCCTGTTTCGAAAAGCCTATCGGTGCAAGAGAAGTGTTAACAGAAGCTTTGAAAGGTTCTAGTAAAAGGATGATAAATGGATTTCTTATTGATTGTGGACTAACTCAAACAGTTAGGATAGGAAACCCCTTTTTTATAAGGAGGTGACATGGTATAAATCAAAATCAATGACAAAGTCAATTTAATAACAAAGTAATAAGTTTCACCCATAATGTATCAAAAATGTTGAGATGCCTTTTTTCTCAATCTAAACAAATTTATATGAAGTCATTAATGATCTAGCATCCTCAAAAAAAGACATACAGATAAGGGGAAATTATTTATCATTTAAGGCTCTATCAAATCCATGCTCGTAGTTCAGTTCACTGTCAATAAAATGGGATGAATGTACATTGGTACTGGGTTGAAAGCTGGAAACAACTACTCTAGCATGAACTCAGTGCATGCTATTTTCACATTTTTCATTAAAAATTGTAAATTTTCTATGAATATCTCAGCTGAGAGTTTTTTTTTTTTTTTTTTTTTTGTTTTTGCTTATTCCGTCTAAATTTCTTTCAGAGTTTATAATTTTGGGAATAGGGAATCCCAAATGTCCAAGGGAATTATGTCATAATCTTTCAATATTATAATTCCTTGAGAGTTTTTTTTTTTTTTTTTTTTTGGCTTCATGCTTATTCCGTCTAAATTTCTTTCAGAGTTTATAATTTTGGGAATAGGGAATCCCAAATGTCCAAGGGAATTATGTCATAATCTTTCAATATTATAATTCCTAAGACAATATTTATTAATAAATTGTTTGCTAGTCATACAATTAAGTTTTAGTCCATAATTTCGCTTGAAAAGTTACCGTGCAAAGTTTTATCTTTTGCAAAACAAGTAGCAAACTGACATGGTCATGATAATGACCATAAACTCAAAGAGACCTTCGCCCTATACAAAAGTCAAAACGTAAAGAAAATCTTAATAAATTTTAGGAGAATTTGTCTAATTTTTTTAAGTTACTGATATATCCTCAAATTAAAACATTATCAACACGCTCACTCCTCTGTAGAAATTAGTTTTTAATAGAACTACAAGTTTTGCTTGATTAATTTGCTTTTTAACTATAATTCATTTCCTAATAATTTCCACTGAAATTTTATGTGATGACGGATATCCATATATTGACTATGCATGTGATAATATAGAAAAAGTTCATCAAAACTATTTCCTTTTTGGCTTCAAAGACTTTCCACTCTACTATCTAAGAAAAGTCTTGACAAGCAAGTTGTACCATTTAGTCCACAATTCATAATTTGCTATAATGAAAGACTTGACTGAGTCACAAAATATGTATCTACGAGCTAATTACATCCACGTCCTAAAACAAGATCTGATGAACAGGAAAACTGTACCAAGGGATTAAACCTAATTTAGAGACTTAATCCAAGGATGAAACTTTTTTTCTCAAGTGAGAAACTGCTTTCACTACATGCCACATTTTGTGAGGCTTGAATCCCAGAGAAAGGGTACAATTTTATAATACCATACAAACCGTAAACTATTGGATAGTGTAACACCTAATTTACTTCGCATTTTCTGTTTAGTATAAATTTAACTCTGTGCAGGGTGGATACGATAAATAATTTCTATAGAGAGCACATCATCTTCGATATTTAAATGGTATCCTAATGGGTTGATCATGACGAGGCTCAAACAGTATGAAATGTGTAACATGCATCACATAAAGATGTTGAGTGTACAGTATGATGTTGAGTTTATGGTTATGTTAGCCTCTTCTTGAGGGAAACTAAAATTAGGTAAAGATGACGTAAATTGATGTTTTATAGAAAGTTGACTCTCAAAATCTACATATGCATTAATCTCTTATCCATGCCCATCAATCATCTCTCAAAATCTACATATAACAAGAAGGTTATGTTAAGTACACCGATTAGTCACTCAACCTACTACTAATAATAAGTACAAAATAGATCAAGATCTTTAAACCCTCTGCTTCATTAACCAACTCGCTATCAAAATAGTTGTAAAGGAAACATAAGGAAGAAACTCAACTTGTGTCAGTTACTTCTCATAACCTGTAGAGCTCCCTAATTAACTGGCATTTGCTGATGACAACATCTGCTCTATATATAAGTATTAGTTCCCGGTCAGCACAACAATCTATCTTTCCACTGAAAAAAGCTGTTTGAACTAGATTATGAACCCTATCTGTAGCATCTCCTTCATCAAGTAGTTTTAACTGCAAAAGAAATTATAATAACCTACAATGTACAGGCAATCAATGAAAGATAACTTTGCTTAGTAGTTAGTAAGTTCCAGTCGTTTATTAATTATCCAACGCACTTCCTACAGAAAGCATTAATCTTTTTTTTTAATAGAAAAGAGCCAAAGCCATGGGTCTGTATGATGCGATCTATAAATCCGAAGACATCCTAGTATTTACATCATTTATTATCATTTTAGTAAAGATCATTTCCTTTCGATTACCCATTTCTTCCCCAAGTAAACTTATCTTGAAAAAGAAAAAAAAACAGAAATAAAAGACATCTGCAAGGATTTTGAGCAGTCTGATAATTGGACAAGTCAATCTCATGCAGCATTTTCAAAATAAAAATTGCAAAACAACAATGACTAATAACAGTGGATTGATATATTAAGAGATGACCTCCTAAAGCTAACCTGCTTCCAGTGAAGGCAAGAAACTATAAGCAGGGTAGATACCACCATAGATCATGAAGTACATAAGAAAGCAAGCCGAGAAACCTTGTTATGCCAGAAGACCAAAACGTGCTCCTTTTCTTCAGACTCTATTCCACTGATCATAGGGATTAGTTAATTCAGAAGATGCCATAGATAATGAGTGAAGTTCGGTGGCACGCACTAATAAGGGCCAAATTTTACTTTTTGCAGATTTTGCCTCATACTGATACAATGACTCTGAAGTAGTCTTGCATCAGAAACACCCATTCCTAAAACTGAATTTTCAGACGAATTGCTGGCTTCTAATCCCTTCTGAATTCACATTGGACACAATTCTTCATCTATCTTCCATCTTCAGACTCTGTATTGGTATTAGAACTCCCTTCTGTCCTTCCTCGTGATCTAGTTACATACATGAGAACAAGTCTTTTATAGGAATCGAGAAGTCTGTGTACATCATCAACTGTTAAATCGCCGGCATTAGCATAGAAGTAGGGGAACTCCTGGAAGTATTTACTACATTGGGCATCCTTCAATAACTCAACAGCTCCTTGTTCCTCCAATCTTGAAATTGATGACTCAGCTGTAGTTGGTTGATCCTGTTCCAGATCATTGCTTCCCTCATGCATTTGGGGTGGATCAGAGTACTCTCTTGTAATAGTATGAGTTCCTGGGTTCCTGAATGAATCTACAATTTGCCCGTTTTGCTCTTGATTGGTTTGGGTTCTTTGGCTTTCTCTATTGGTTGATAGACCCAAAATATGAACTCTAGCTGATTCCATTTTCTTTTGGAATTCTTCTTCATCCATTGAAAGAGATGCTGCATCAACGTTCCAGATGAAAGATTCTACAGAGAGAAAATTTGTGAAGTAATATGACACTTCAGAGACCAAACGTGATTGGCTCCTATATCTCTGTATGTATAACAAATTTGAATGCAACTGTGGAGGATTCGCCTGCAGAAAATGAAATAAAAAAATTACAGGGTCTGAATCATAACCATGTGCAGGACAAGTTCGAGACTATTACATATTTTCATGGCATTTAATAAGAGTTGAGACCAAACCATATTAGAAGGTAAGGAAGAGAACTATAACCATTGTTTGATACATTGATAGTTAAAGAAGGATTAATTTCACAAAAACCCCTGAACTTAAGAGGGGGGTGTTGTACAGAACTATGAAGCACGGACACGCATAACAGGAAGCCGTGTCGTGTCGTGTCGTGTCCGTGTCGGACACACGTGTCGAACACACGTATCCTATGTATTTTTTAGGATTTGCCTCGTGTCGGCGTGTCGGATGGCCGTGTCGGATCCGTGTCCGTGCTACATAGGTACAGAACTCCTTTTTTTTTGTTCCGGTGAACACCCATGAACTATACCTACTTAACCCCAAAAAGTAATGCTGTCATCTCTAATGCAGCATGTGCCAAGCATGTGACCAAAAATGAGGAAAGTACCCTTCAGGTAAAAATATCCCAATTGATCCTTTTGTGATATTTTTTTGCAATTAACCCCCCACCCCACCCATGCAAAGTCATTAAGAATAAGAAAAGAAAATGCCAAATCTAACAATGATTAAAGCGTAGGAAGCATCAATTAGAGCATTTGGACTGTGTTTAGTGTATGTACACACCCTTGGAAGTGAGGCATTAGACAGTCTCAATGATGATTATTCATATCGTGCAAGGGGAAAGTTCATATAAGAATTTCTGGATCATCAATTGACATGGAACCTAGAAGCAGACTTGAGCCCCAAATGAAACTAGTTTCCCTCTAAGTTGATGGCCTAAAAGTTTACAGGATTTTTTTTTTCCCTGAACTTGTACAACTGAATCAGCAATAATAGTGAAGGCTAGAATGCTATTGGCACCAACCTCTACAGACTTATATGAAGGCAGGAGACATATCCCTCCACATTAAGCACGTCTGACTGCAAGTTATATAGAAAAATATCTGCTAATTCCTGTAGTAAATTGTCAAAGGAATCTAGCGCTACTAGTTTCCCTCTAAATCAACGGCCCAAAAGTTTACAGGAAATTTTTTTGCTGAACTTGTACAACTGAATCAGCAATAATAGAGAAGGCTAGAATGCTATTGGGGCCAACTGCTACAGACTTATATGAAGATAGGAGACATATACCTCCACGTTAAGCATGTCTGACTGTAAGTTATACAGAAAAAAAATCTGCCATTTCATAGAAGCTGAAAATTTTAACTAGCTGTTAAAGCATGTGCTTTGAAATAGAAAACCAGTCCTGCAGAAGTAATCAAAGTGAAGACACTGAATCATATTTGCAACATAAGAACAAGTAACGAAAGTGTAGAATATTCTGTCATTTGAATATACTTGCACAAAACTGAGCTTGCCTTAATAGTAACATATATAAGAACCGGAAGGAAATCATCTGCTCCCGGAGGATCCTCGTGTGATGCAATGGAAACATTTAGCAGTAAGTTGTTTATGACTTTGCAACAATTGAGGATACAGATGAGTTTATCTCTAGGAGCCTTGTAGAGATTAATCTTTTGCAGTTCTTTCTGTGCAAGCTACAGTATTAGAAGAAATAAAAATGTGAGATATGTGAGTTAGGACAGTAGAAAACTTCAAATTTGGAAATCAGTCAGAACACAATTTCAAATTAAATAATGATTTTACAGAGTAGATGGATAAGTGTCGGGCATTCAATAGGAATAGATGCTATGCGTAACAGACAATAAACATCACCTTTTGAACTGAAATTTTGTATTATAAGAGAGAAAACATACGGGCTAAAATACCAAATTGACCTTAAAACTAACGCTGCCTTACCACTCTAGCCTAAAAACTGATGCTGGAGACAATCTAACCTAAAAACTCACAAAGTGACAAATAGGTCTATCTATTGCCAGAGGTAATTTTTAAGTAAAAAATTAATAGATTTTTCATATAAACCCCTCAATCTCTCCAAATTTTCAGATCAACCCCCCATCCCCTATTTTGAAGTTCGTAGCAAAGCCCTCCCTTCCTATCATCTCCTCCCTCATCCTTCCTATCATCTTCTCCATTCTCTTCTTCTCCATGTTCCCAACTTTCCATCATCTCTCCCACCCCTTTTCCCTACTTTCTCATATCCCCACTCTTATCTTCTCCTTTCCTATCTACTCCATTATCTTCCCCTTCCAATCCCCAACATCTCTTTCTCTCTCTCTTACCCCCTCCCTTTCCTCTTCTTTCTCCCTCCCACGCATTATTCCTCCCTCCCATTCCCTTTCCCTCTCCCTCATTGCTCTGCCCACCCTAATTTTGAACATTAATTATTACACTAAAAACCCAACCTCCTCCTCCTCCTCCTCTCTTAGACCCAACAATAAACATTTTACTTGAAGCACTAGGAAAGGTGGAGGAAAGAGGAGAGAGAGAGAGAGAGAGAGAGAGAGAGAGAGAGAGAGAGAGGAAAAAGAGTGCAGAAAAAGAGAGAAGTTAAAGAAAATCAAGAAGATGCATGATTGAAGATTGGGAGTGGACAGAGCAATGAGGAAGAGGGAATGGGAGAGAGGAACATGGCGTGAGAGAGAGGAAGAGGAGGTAGAGAGGGTAAGAAATAGAAAGGGAGATTGAGGATTGGCAGAAGAAGAGAATGAAGAAGATGGTGGAAAGAAGAAGGTAAGTGTGAGGATATGAGATAGGAGAGAGAAGGAGCGGGAGAGATAAGAGAAAGTTGAGAATATGGAGGAGAAAGAGGGGGAGGAGGACGTAAGGGTGGAGATATGACAAAGGAGGGAGAGAGAGAGAGAGAGAGAATGGAAGATAGAGAAGAGAAAAGAATGAAGGAGATGGTGAGAAAGAAGAGGAAGAAGGGGTTGGAAGGGGATAGAGGAGTTTTTTTTAATACAAATTTTAAAACTTGAGGGGGTAAATCTAAAAAACATAAGAGATTAAGAGCCCATATGAAAAAATCTCTTAATTTTTCGCTTAAGCTAATAGAAAATTTATGTTTTCAGCCGGATATGCCTACTCGTCGCCGTATTTGTAAGTTTTTAGGCTAGAGTGTCACCGGCATCAGTTTTTAGGTTAGAGTGGTAAAACGGTGTCAGTTTTAAGGTCAATCAAGTATTTTAACCAAAACATATGCAATAATTTGGCAATAGACTAGAATGATGATGATGATGATGATAACAATATATTATTCCGGATCATTATATTGAATGGTAGGATCATAACTAAGACATTACGCAGACGGAGAATGAGCTAAGGGACAATAAGAAATTCCAGAACTTTGAGGGAGACATTTATCATAAAGTTTAATTAAATCACATGAAGATGAGAAGATCTCAAAGAAGCTTTCTTGGTTTTACTAGAAAAGTTGCTAATGCAAGGGCCTATTGACTCTCTTGGAGAAATACATTTCAAATTCTATAGAAAATATTTCAAAAAATAAATATAACAGATTGCAATGTGAGGAAAAAAGGTTCTTAGGCATGTCAACATCTCCAAGACATGATACCAGCCAAGAAGTTTCATTTTGGAATGCTGGCTTTATATCCAAATTCTCAGGGCGTATAAATTGTTGGAGTAAAGATATCTTCTCAAACAATTCTTCATCGCTTAGAACATCTTCTGGAAGCGACGCAAATACCCGATTAAAAAGTTTCGTCATGACATATTTCTCTAGTCCCTGAAAATGAAAGGACATTGCACGATAACTAACATATACACAAATAGTAGTTAATGATATAATACGAGCGAAAATGACAGCATAAATGTTTCAGAACGTATTTAAACCAAAGCAGTGAGAGTAATAAAACTTACTTCACCAGCACTTTCCAGCTCTTCCTCTGAGCAACCTGCCCAAAGCATATGAGCCCTGAAAGCCCCTTCCATCTTTGCAAGAAACTCTTGAACAGCAGCACTATCCTTTTCCGGGTCAGGAGCCTTGTTTGAGAGGGATACAATGAAGCTGCCATGTGAAAACATAACATTGAAATGCTTACTTTTTCAGAAAATCTAGAGAATAGGCGAACTTTTAAAATGACAGACAGGAGACACCTATCACCACAAACATCAAAACTTTTCCTGTTTTTATGTGCATCTCGGAACAAAAGTTTTACGTTGACAAGAACAACTTTAAGTTGTGTGTAACTGGTAGTAGATTATTTAAAACATTTAGGTAGAGAAAGAAGATCCCAAATTTATTAGATAACATATACCAACAAAGCAATAGAGGTATGTAAGGACGTAGGTTTATGTCAAAGGTCACCTAGTCATGTTAATACCACCCAGGATTGTCTAACTTATCTAGTTGTTTATGAAGCTATATTTTAAAGTAAGCATAGTAGTGGTGAACCCGGGTTCACGGATCTAGTTTTAAGTAACTAAACTGTATATAGATTATAGCAAGATAACTTCCAATGCAGAGGCAGTAAGAAAACATATGCGCAAGAATAGGACTATGGGACCAAAATTTGACACCAAAAGTTGCTGGAAGGTCTCCATAGTCCATGCTAACATTTGTCATGTACCCTGGAAATGCTGTAAACAAAAGGAGATCCATGTAGTTCTCGCTGTCCGCTTACTCTAGCATTATCAGCTTACTGGACCTCCAATTTATTCTGAATATTTTGAAATTGATTACTAAGCTTTTTCTGTAAGTTTCATGTGAAATTACATGTAGCATCTGATTCATTTGAACCCGACCCTAACCCGGTTTTCATTATACATTCTTTCATGTCAAATCCAAATATTAGCTGTAGTTACCTCACAAATAGTGCAACTCAACCTCTCGAATAAAGTGATTGTTTATGATGGTTCTTCTAAGATCCTAGGTTCAAAGTCCCAATCCCATTAGCCCATCTTTCAAGTATGCGAGCGACTCATATCATTCAACAAACTAATATCTAACCTACATAAAGCGCATTTTACATGTAAAAAAGGTGAAATCTACCCATCAGTTTCATCGAAGAAGTAATTATACTGAAACAAACAATAATATAAACTTCGCCCAAGGGTTGCTCAATATATCATTTTGGCCCAAAACTCCTCCGCAAACTGCAACAATTCCAAACAATCAACGAGAACGCAGGGTTCTTAACGACTGCTATTTTCAAATTGACCCATATAAAATAAATTGAAAAAAATCAAACAAAAAATGAATACATTTCGACTAATTACCTTTTGATGGATTTGACAAAATCAGATGCGGATGGGTGACGCATGCGATCCAAGAAATCGTGCCATGCGAGAGGAGCAGACGAATTGCTGCTGCTGCTGCTGTTCTCCATTGAATCGACAAAATGAGAGGAAAAAATGAAAATCGATTGATTTCTTTTTTTTTCTTTTGCAAAATAAATGAAAACGGGGGAATGGGTTGGTAATAACTATGAATAAGATGCTTTCGGAACGGAGAACCCAAATTTTCTTGGTGGGGGACAGTTGGACTCTTCCTCATTGGGTTAACGGGTCGGGTTGCAAAAAGGTTTACCAAACTTTGATTAGTTTCGGATCGGGCACGCACTCACTCTGCAACACAGTATGCTTCGTTGGGGATAAGCGCAGCGAGGGCATTTTATTTTTTTTTAACAGCATTTATTTAGAGCTGTAACAAATAGGCGGAGGATTGCCATGTTTCCCCAGCCCACAATACATACAAGTTTAAGCTCATATATTAGCCCCACGTGGCAAAAGGTTAAGAAAGAAGGATTAATGAGAATGATTGACATTGTTAGCTCATTTGATAATTTGAAGAACTATATTGTTAACTTATTGATGTGGCATAAACATGTACAAAAAAGGTTGCAAGTGCACAACCGTGTCAAGTTATAGTATTTAAGATATCGATGAGAATAATTCATACAATATAAAAGAAATTAGACTAGTTTCATACAATTCTAAGATTCCTACAAGAATTAAATTCACATCTTAAGAAATAAAAACAAGAAAAAGAAGACTAATTACAAAATTAAAAAGAAAAGAAAAATCTAAACTATGAACAAGAAATAAATCTAATTACAAAGAAAATAAAAATCTAAACTACAAAATAAATTGCAGAAATTAAATGCAAGAAAAATAAATCTACTCTACAAATTAAAGTGCAAAAAGAAAATAAAAAAGACAAGAAAGTAAATCTATACTACAAGCATGAATTTAAATCTAACTAATAAGCAATAATAAAGAAATTACTAAAAAGAAATAAAAGAGAAAAGAAATGCAAACCTTCAAATTGCTCTTCATCTCCATCCTCATCATTCAACAAGAGGAGAAAGAACAAATTTAAAGAGGAAAAAATTATTTTTATTAATTGCAACTAAAGTTACAATTTTTGGAAGGCCTTCTCAATTAAGAGTAGCCCTCCTCTCCAAAAGGAGTTACAAAAATTTTCACACCTCTCACCCCTCACTCTCTACCCCTATTTATAGTAATCTTCAATGAATATGAGCCATTGGATTTGTCTTGAGCCACAAGCAACAATCTCCACCTTTGAATTAGCTTTTTGTTCTTCTATAGCACAACATAGGAGACTCATATGATTTATTTGATTTTCAAAAGAAAATCAAAATCCAATACAATTTTCTGCAGCCCAATACAATTTTCTGCAGCCCAATACAAGTTCGGCCTACTTTATTTAAAGTCCGGTCTCTTGATTAAAATCCAAATCTGCAGCAGCTTCTCAAGTCCGGTCTATTGAAGTTCTGCAGCAAATCATACATGAAACCGGCCCCAAGTGGAAATAAATAGCAAATCAATGATTTTCCAATCAAGCCAAGTCTGCAGCCATTTCATATGTATTTTAATTTTGAAATCCGGCCCAAGTCATTTACAAGTCCTTAGTCTTCATTTGATTTTTGAAAAGAGAATAAAAATTCGGCCCACTTCAAGCATTTGATTTTCCAAACCTCTGGCCCAATGTCCATTAAATTGATTTTGAAAATCAAAATTGAAGAGCAAAGTCCGGCCCATGATGGAAATCCAACTCTTTGGCAGCAATCAAATTCGGTCCATTGGCTTTATTTCATTTTTTTACATCCAAGTCCATTTCATTCCACTTTTTGCATCCAAGTCCATTCCAACGCTTTGGTGTAATCATTTTTCTTGATGGGCTTTGGGCTTCAAAAATGCTACAAAATAGAGAAGAGAGATTTTTGAGGGGTTTTTACATTTAATAATATTTATTTATATTTTCATTCAATTATGTGCAAACTAAGCTAACAACAATTATTATTATTAGTGGTATATTTATTCATATAAAATAGATAATGAGGGTATAAAATTGTAATAAAATATGATTATCAAATACCCCCACACCTAAACTTTTGCTAGTCCTCTAGCAAAGAAAATAAAAAGAAAATCCTAACTCACTTTCGCAGGAATCGCGGTTGTATTTAGCGCATACAACAAGCCTTTAAACCCCTAGGTTACCCTAGTGGACGAGTTGTAGTCTCGTGAGGGTTTGCAGTGAATATACCCATAAAATTCGGTCAACTTGCCAAATTAAAGAAGTCAGTAAATAACTAAATTCACTTGATAACTTTTAGATAATCTAATTGGAGCCAGTTATCACTCAAGAAAACATTTTTATATATAACTCTAAGGTATATTTTTAAGAAAATCTTCTCATTGTAGCAATACAAAACCAAGCCAAACTTAGAAATTTAATTTAAAAGTTTTGAAAAGAACATGCTAACTCTTTGTTTTAAATAATTTTCAAGTTGCTTGATTTAAAATATTTTCCAAGACCATATATACAACTATAAAACATTTATTAAATTTTTTTTTTTTAACTCTTTCATCCTTGGTGATTTTTTTCTACTTTAACGGGCTTTCTAATTGACCTTTTAACGAGTTTTGGGCCAATGGATCCCAACCCAAATGGGCTTAGGTCATTAAGTATGAAAATACTCCTTAGGCTTAATTACTCGGTCAGCTTAGGCTTAATAAGATAGAATCACATTGAATTCAAGAGTATTTTTTTTTTTTGGTGCCCATTTTTCGCACTCTTCTTTTGCAAAAATTTTTTTTGTATATGTATATATATTTTGAAAATATGTAAATCAAGATACTTTGAAAAAATTATTTTCAACTCTAAGTTAAGCATGCAAAAATTTCATTATTTTAAATAAAAGTCCAAGTTAATGCTTAAGTAAAGTATACTACTTTGAAAATCATTTCTTAAGAAATTTAGTTAGAGTTATCATAAAAAGTGAACTTAAGTAAATAACTAAATAGGGATTAGAAAATTTTAAATTTATCAAATAAATCAATTATTACATAACTCCATCAATTTGGCAAGTGTCGATATTTTTATAAATTTTTTTTAAGAAAAAGGGAAAAAACAAAAATGTAACTAAAAATGTAAAATAAAGAGAAAAAATAATTAATTCTCACCCCCACACCTAAAATTTGCATTGTCCTCAATGCAAACTCTATGATGCATAAAGTAAAGCAGATAAGAAGTGAAGTACTTACATTTGGTCCGCTAATAAATATCTGCAATTACCTTTGGTCTGAGGAGGATGAAAACAAAAATTTATTCTTCTTTCTTTTTTTTTTTTTGAAAACTGAACAAGAAACTCTCAAATGAGAGAAGAATAAATTCTTTTTATTATTCTGAAGTAAACAAAATAAACAATGTAGAATGAAATATTCAACATGAAGAGTTCCTGTTCTACATTGAATCCTACCTTACTGTTGAAAATTCTTCCCCGAATTTTAAACAAATTCAGAATGATATAATCAATAATGTGAATTTTCAAGCATTTCGGGGTGTTCAGTAATTCTTGCAATAAAGTAAGGTAGGTATTATTGGTGTCATGCATTTTACATTTTTTAATAAACTTAGACTCTTATACTGTGAAGTTTTGTTTTCTAACAACCAATTCTTCTGTGAAGTTCTGAAAATTTGGTTGTTGATTATTCTCTAAAAATCTAAGTTCATCAAGAAAGAGTTCTTCAAAATTTAATTCAAAGCAGCACATGTTTAACAGAGTTTTATTATTCTCAAGGACCTGATCTGCTTTTTCTAAAAACTCTAACTCTTCATCAAAAATTTTCTCAAAACTTTCTAAAAACTCTAACTCTTCATCAAAAATTTTCTCAAAACTCAAATCAGACTCTTCTTCTTCTTCTTCTGATCTTTCCTGAATGAAAAACTCAAATCAGACTCTTCTTCTTCTTCTTCTGATCTTTCCTGAATGTAATTTATTTCCAGAGGCTGTTTATTTGGTTGGTCTCCTGGATTAAAAATGTTGAGATCAGCAGTCAAATTCCCAAAGGACAGCTTCATTTGACTAGTTCTACAGTTGATGAGAGCATTAGAAGTGGCTAAGAACGGTCGTCCTAAGATGACAGGTGTCTGTCCTTTGGGATTGGAAACAGGCTGTGTTTCCAAGACTACAAAATCTACTGGAAAAATAAAATCTCCAACCTTAATCAGAACATCCTCTAACTCACCCATAGGGACCTTGACAGATCTATCAGCCAACTGTAAGGTGCATTTGGTTGGGTTCAGTACACCTAGACCCAATTGCTGATAGACTGAATATGGAAGCAAATTGACACTGGCCCCTAAGTCTAAAAGCGCCTTATCAATGTGAGTATTACCAATGATACATGAAATGATGGGGGAACCTGGATCTTTACGTTTCAAAGGTATGAGATTTGATAGCATTTCACTGATATTGGCAGCTAAAAAGACTTTCTTTGGAACATTTATTCTCCTCTTCTTAGTGCATAATTCTTTTAAAAATTTAGCATAAGATGGAATTTGTTTAATTACATCTAAGAGAGGAATGTTGACCTTAACCTGTTTGAATGTTTCTAAGATCTTCTCCTCCTGATGAGAGTGTTTTCTAGACCTGAGTCTATCTGGGAAGGGAGCAACCGGTCTAAACCTATCAAAAGCAGGCTCAGGTTCGGGTTCAGGTTCTTAGTCATCTGCAGGGAGTGATTGTTGAATAGATTCATCAGAAGGAGAAGGAGAAGGAATTTGTACAGGATCAAGAGTTTGACTTGGAGAAGTTCTTACTTGATTATCGACCTGTCTACCTGACCGAAGTGAATGGATTGCATTCACTTGAGCTTCATAGGATGAACTGCATCCTGTGTTATTAGGGTTGACCACGGGTTGACTCAAAAAATTTCCTTTTTCTCTTTCACTTACGGCACTAGCTAGTTGACCAAGTTGGGATTCTAATCTAGCTATAACTTGAGTGTTGGAGTTGAGCATTTGTCTGGTTGATTGCATGAAGGAATTCAGCGTGCTAGATGTTTGAGTCAACATATTCGTGGTTTGAGTAGAGGCCTTAATTATGGTTTCTAAACCCCTTTCCAAGACATTGAGACGTTTATCCTGATCTGGATTGTGAGGAGTCTGAATTACAGCTTGATGAAGAGGAGATTGATTTTGATACGGCAGATTGGGTT